AAGTTGGTACCAACTTTTTCACTTTTGTCGACTAGTAAGTTGGTACCCTCTTTTAGAATAAGTTGGTACCAACTGTTTTCACTTTTGTCGATTAATAAGTTGGTACCCTCTTTTAGAATAAGTTGGTACCAACGCTTTTCACTTTTGTCGATCAATAACCAACTTGTTTCACTTTTGTCGAGTAATACGTGTGTACCCTCTTTTAGAATAAGTTGGTACCAACTTTTTTCACTTTTGTCGATTAATAAGTTGGTACCCTCTTTTAGAATAAGTTGGTACCAACTTTTTTCACTTTTGTCTATTAATAAGTTGGTACCCTCTTTTAGAAAAAGTTGGTACCAACTTTTTTCACTTTTGTCGATTAATAAGTTGGTACCCTCTTTTAAAATAAGTTGGTACCAACTTTTTTCACTTTTGTCGATTAATCAGTTGGTACCCTCTTTTAGAATAAGTTGGTACCAACTTTTTTCACTTTTGTCGATTAATAAGTTGGTACCCTCTTTTAGAATAAGTTGGTACCAACTTTTTTCACTTTTGTCGATTAACAAGTTGGTACCCTCTTTTAGAATAAGTTGGTACCAACTTTTTTCACTTTTGTCGATTAATAAGTTGGTACCCTCTTTTAGAATGAGTTGGTACCAACTTTTTTCACTTTTGTCGATCAATAAGTTGGTACCCTCTTTTAGAATAAGTTGGTACCAGTTTGTTCACTTTTGTCGATTGATAAGTTGGTACCCTCTTTTAGAAAAAGTTGATACCAACCTTTTTTTCACTTTTGTCGCTTAATAAGTTGGTACCCTCTTTCAGAATAAGTTGGTACCAACTGTTTAAACTGTTGTCGATTCATAAGTTGGTACCCTCTGTTAGAATAAGTTGGTACCAACTTTTTTCACTTTTGTCGATTAATAAGTTGGTACCCTCTTTTAGAATAAGTTGGTACCAGCTTTTTTCACTTTTGTCAATTAATAAGTTGGTACCCTCTTTTAGATTAAGTTGGTACCAACTTGTTCACTTTTGTCGATTAACAAGTTGGTACCCTCTTTTAGAATAAGTTGGTACCAACTTTTTTCACTTTTGTCGATTAATAAGTTGGTACCCTCTTTTAGAAGTTGGTACCAACGTTGTTCACTTTTGTCGACTCATAAGTTGGTACCCTCTTTTAGAATAAGTTGGTACCAACTGTTTTTTCTCGCTTTTGACGATTCATAAGTTGGTACCCTCTTTTAGAATACGTTGGTACCAACTTTTTTCACTTTTGTCGATTAATAAGTTGGTATCCTCTTTTAGAATAAGTTGGTACCAACTGTTTTCACTTTTGTCGATTAATAAGTTGGTACCCTCTTTTAGAAAAAGTTGGTACAAACTTGTTTCACTTTTGTCGATTGATAAGTTGGTACCCTCTTTTAGAATAAGTTGGTACCAACTTTTTCACTTTTGTCGACTAATAAGTTGGTACCCTCTTTGAGAATATGTTGGCTTTTGTCGATTAATAAATTGGTACCCTCTTTTAGAAAAGTTGGTACCAACTTTTTTCACTTTTGTCGATTAATAAGTTGGTACCCTCTTTTAGAATAAGTTGGTACCAACTGTTTCACTGTTGTCGATTAATAAGTTGGTACCCTCTTTTAGAAAAAGTTGGTACCAACTTTTTTCACTTTTGTCGATTGATAAGTTGGTACCCTCTTTTAGAATAAGTTGGTACCAACTTTTTTCACTTTGGTCGATCAATAAGTTGGTACCCTCTTTTAGAATAAGTTGGTAACAACTTTTTCACTTTTGTCGATTAACAATGTGGTACCCTCTTTTAGAATAAGTTGGTACCAACTTTTTTCACTTTTGTCGATTAATAAGTTGGTACCCTCTTTTAGAATAAGTTGGTACCAACTTGTTTCACTTTTGTCGATTAATAAGTTGGTACCCTCTTTTAGAATAAGTTGGTACCAACTTTTTTCACTTTTGTCGATTAATAAGTTGGTACCCTCTTTTAGAAAAAGTTGGTACCAACTTTTTTCACTTTTGTCGATTAATAAGTTGGTACCCTCTTTTAGAATAAGTTGGTACCAACTTTTTTCACTTTTGTCGATTAATAAGTTGGTACCCTCTTTTAGAATAAGTTGGTACCAACTTGTTCACTTTTGTCGATTAACAAGTTGGTACCCTCTTTTAGAATAAGTTGGTACCAACTTGTTTCACTTTTGTCGATTAATAAGTTGGTACCCTCTTTTAGAAAAAAGTTTGTACCAACTTTTTTCACTTTTGTCGATCAATAAGTTGGTACCCTCTTTTAGAAAAAAGTTGGTACCAACTTTTTTCACTTTTGTCGATTAATAAGTTGGTACCGTCTTTTAGAATAAGTTGGTACCAACTTGTTTCACTTTTGTCGATTAATAAGTTGGTACCCTCTTTTAGAATAAGTTGGTACCAACTTTTTTCACTTTTGTCGATTAATAAGTTGGTACCCTCTTTGAGAATAAGTTGGTACCAACTTTTTTTCACTTTTGTCGATTAATAAGTTGGTACCCTCTTTTAGAATAAGTTGGTACCAACTGTTTTCACTTTTGTCGATTAATAAGTTGGTACCCTCTTTTAGAATAAGTTGGTACCAACTGTTTTCAGTTTTGTCGATTTTAGATTTTGGAACCCTCCCCCAAAAAAGAAACGGTAAAAGGGCACCAATTGCTGGGGGACCTGGTGTTGCGGGCATAAACCAAAGGCCATCTTTGGGAGCATTTTCTCTCTGGAGTCCAGGCAAAGCGCAAACAATCAAAGGACACAAGTTTAAGAGGGATCCAAAAAGGGCCCTGTGTGTCCTTTGATTAGACTTGGGCTCCATCCCCTTTTGCAAGGAGGGAACATCCTAAGCCGCCAAGAGGCCCTAGAAACACTGTGATTGAACCTCACATGTCCAGGTGGCAAGGCTTTCAACGGATGTCACGCCATCCAAAAGGCGAGCGCATTTATCATGTGGACCCGAACTACTTGAACAAAGCAGTGATGCTACAGCACTTTCCAACTCTATCAACTTCGTCAATCCTGTTTTCCACATGCGAGCAATAACTGCTCATCATTGATTCGACCGCTACACGATTAAGATGACGCCTCTGAAAGGCCTGCCCATCTCAACAGCCGAAAACCATCAACTTGGGCTGGGGCAAGCAAACTCGTGCACGAGAAGAACGCGAGTGATTGCTTGCTGCAGCACTGCTAAAGGCTCAAAGGTCGTCAATGATGGAACACATAATGGTTTGTTTGTGTTTTTATTTATATTTTTGCTGGAGCGTCTCAGGTTGTTTTAAAGAAAAACTAGGCGGGCAAAGGCCGTTCTGGGCGTCCCCACCTATTTTGACCAACACATACTGCAAATTTGGTGATGAGAAAACTGGCTAGCCTGGAATAAGAAAATGAGGCTCACTGAAAAGCTGATTGCATGGTGTGATCCTCGCAATCCAGAGGCTCCTGGGGCTTTCAATGGAAGACCCGACCCCTCCATTAGACACCCCGAAATTGGTTGGGGGCCTCAAAACCAGGTGGTTGGAAGGCCCCAAATCAATCGGGAGCCTCTGGGAAAGACCGAAGTGCCAACAACAGCAACTCCCCTATAGATGCTACCCGGGGCACTTGATTGCAGGAAAATTACCTGGCTTGGCCTATCCCTACTCCCTTGGAACCGGCTAAAGCGCCGCAAGCGGAGCTATCGGGGCCGAGTTTTTTCTTTGAACCCTGGAGAATGCTCCGAACTTACCCCAGAGCCAACTTGGGCCAGAATCAAAACCAGTTTAGTACTGAAATGGTGAACCCAGAACCATGCTTCAAGAATTCAGAAGCCGGATGTCCGCAACAAATTTATGGCAAGGGGATTGGCCCTTAACCGGATCATCAATCCCCGAATCGGCTTTGAGCATGTGCCTTGGGCCTATGGACCCCATAGCTTTCGACTCGAGGGCTTCCCGGGGCTTCGTGTCACAAGGTCCGGCCAAAAAGCCGCTGTCGAATGCGTGTGCCTGTCAACTCCATTCCGAACCAGATATGGGAATGGAAAAAAAAACACCTCCTTCGTCATGCTGTCTAGTGTTCTTCTGCGCGTGGGTTGAACAGAAGCTTCTGAACTTACGGGCTGATTGCTAGTGAAGCCACCAAAAAGGTAATACCTTCACTTCTCACTTGGGCAAGTTACCCATCGGTTTGGGGCTGGGAAGATTGATCGACCATCACACCAATATCCGGCGGGGGCTACTCAAAGAAGGGGTCATCTCGTGGGACGATCATGTCGCTCGAAATATGGTACTTCCCGGATCTCTGTTCAACCCCAAAAGCCGTTTCGCTTTGTAAGAAGTGGCTCTGTTCCGTACAGTGTTCTTCATGGCTCGAATCAAACAAAGAACAGAAACACGATTGACACCCATACAATCGGGCTGCCATTGAGCGGTCAAAGAAGTTCACAACCTCTGCTACACCCTACGTGCATGCAATGTTCATCCACTGTAGCTGGGCATCCCAACATGTCTGTTCCTTGAAGTGGAACATTAATAAACAGCGCTGATTGAAACCTGAAAGGTTTCGTGCGGAAAAAGCAATACCCCGTTCGCGTCAAGCCAATTGGACCGCGTGCGCACGACGTTCGCTTTTTGTCTTGCGCCTTGCCGCCGCCATGTTTTGCGGCTTGCTCGTCTCTCAACTCTAGCGGACTATTCCAAAACTCATACACAGCTTCTGTCGGATGTGGAGGATCATCCGACAAAGACTGCCATCTTGCAGCATGGCTCCCAAAGCCATCTTCCGCCCGTCGGCAGCATACATAAATATAAAGAATCACGCCTGACTCAAAAGAGGCGTATCGCCAGCAGCCAGAACATGCGTGCACCCACAGCCTGGTCGGTTTGGTGTTGTGGTTCCAGAATCCTCAAGCAGGACAAAAGAACAAACACCAACCCGAGACAATGCTCGAGAAGGATCAAAGCCGGGCAACTCCTCATGTTTCTTGCCCACCTCTGGACGCTTTTTTACTTTGGCAGATCACTGGGGAAGGCGAAGCGATCTTCGGTGAAGGGCCGCTCACACGCAGAGAGTCCGCTGCTGTCTTGCTTGAGGCGCAGGATCTCCAAAGGGTTCCAGGGGCCTGGCGACACCGCCCTTTTTGCGCTCGCAGCCGCATGCTCATGAAAACCGCTTCCCAGTGGATCCAGAAAACCCGCAGGTAGCAAAGGGCTCACCCGTTAAAAATCGACAGGGATGTAGCTGGTTACCTACTATAAGGGCTTGTCTGGGGTCCACAGGGCCTGATGGCTTCCTTGTCTCAGGAAAAGCTGTAAGCCCCAAAACCACTAAACTGCTGCACGACAAAAGCTGCACTCAAAAACATAGGCAGCAGGTGACAAACGGCTTTAAACATATCTAGGTTCAAGGCCAACTCTAAAACGCCAGCGAGTGGGTGTTTCTCCCTTTCAGGTGGTTGGCTCTCCTCTGGTTGCCGCTATCACTTGCCCAAAAGACCTGGAAATGCAAGGCGATCGCCTTTCTTGGGCGATCACTGAAAGCAGGACTCCGAAAAGGGAAAACCAAAAGGTCAGATCATGTCGCTTCAAGACAAGCACAGATATCTATCGCAACCTGAAATTGGGTCACGAGAGTCACCTGAAGCAGGGCTCGCGGCAGTCCTTTCTTTCAAGGGCACCACTTTTTGGTGCCTTTAAAGGGAACCCAGAGGAAACCCAGCAGTTGGGGGGGGGGTCCCCCAAAAAATATGACACACCCATATTCTCTCTTCACAAAGCTGCTCAGGTCATGCCCGTGGGTGACTTCCCTGAGAAGCCGCAACAAAACTAGGCTGCCCGATTTCCGATCCCCCGCTAAAGGTTGAGAACTTCTAGTAGGGTTAAATGGAAACTGCCGCCAAACGCCAAAAGGCTAAAAGGCTAAAAGGCCAAAAGGCCAAAAGGCCAAAAGGCCAAAAGGCTAAAAGGCTAAAAGGCTAAAAGGCTAGGGAACCGGATGGCTGGGAGCCACCAAGAAAACCTGGGGACTCAATTTGGTGCGTTCCCTCACGGCCCCAAGCCCTCGGAGCGCGGAGCCGCCTTTGGCGCAGGTCTGCACGTCCCGAGCTTCGAAGTCCTTCACCTGACGAGGGGCCCAAAGGGCCGGGCACCAAAAGGGCCCTGGTTTTCTGAGGGCGCTTGTTTTCGGAAAGGGAAACCCAACGAAATCAAAGGAAACCCAAGGAAACCCAAGGGAAACCCAAGGAAACCCAAAACAAAAACCCAAGAAACCAGGCGAAACCCAGGCGAAACCCAAGGGAACCCCAAAGGGAACCCAAGGGAAACCCAAGGGAAACCAAAGGAAACCCAAGGAGACCCAAAGGAAACCCAAAGGAAACCCAAGGGAACCCAAGGGAACCCAACGAAACGCAAGGAAACCCAAGGGAACCCAAAGGAAACCCAAAGAAACCCAACGAAACCACCCAGTGCCGGCAGGTCGCCATTTTGAGACAAACCCAAATCTGGACGGGAAGGAGTGACGTCCATCTTGGGTGAGAGTAATAGTACCAAACAAATATCTTGACTCTCGGGCATGCAAGAAGCAGCATGAAGAAACCTGGGCGGGAAAAAGCAAGCCAAGCACAAGTCGGGGGAGGGAAGTCATTATCATGGAGAAATCAAGCCACGTCATGCTCATAAGAAAACTGGAGTCAGTATTTGACGGTTTCTGGAGGTTGTAACCCAGCACTGACCAGGGGGTGACTTATGGTAAAAACCACTGAGGCCAGGAGGACTCAGCTTCTGAGGGCCATATCTTGGTTGTTGTTGACCCCTCTGCAAGAAGTTCTCCGCTTTTTGAGGGTTCAGTGGAAAACCGAAGCCTTGATTTCCCAACAAGTTAAAGTCTAAAGCTCCAAGCCAACAGCAGTCAAGCATAGATGTGATCCAGGCGCCATCTCTGGCACCGACATCACCTCCCGGCATCCCACCGCGGATCCGTCAGCCAGCCGCACCCCGTCCGCTGCAAGCTCCCTGCGTATGAAGAAACAAAAACATCGGGGGGTTCTTCAATTGGTAGACCCCTTTTTCTAGGGGTTGATTCCTTTTCCATTCTTTTCAACCATCGTTCTTTCCAAAAACCGGATCCGGTTTCCCTCTGGAAAAAGGATCCCTGGAAAGAATCGGGAAGGTACCCCTAGTACTTTGGTGGCTTGAAGGGAGACCGAGAGGACACGAACCAAAGCTTTTGGGCTCTATCTTTGGAGAACCCCTCATCTCACTTGTTCAAAGGACTTGGACAAGGTGGGCTGAAACGGCTTGTACAAGAACACGCTGCAGTGGCCGTCGAGTGGACAAACCAGGTCAAACGTCTACATTCAGTGTCTAAACTCTCGTAAAGGTGCTGACAAGGCGAACTGAATTACAATTGGAGAATGGGGGTTGCCACAAACCACCTCTCGCAAGGGTTCGAAAACTGACCGCTGCAAGGACAAACAGTAGGAAAGTAAACCAAAGACTACCTTGAGGTTCGTTCCACTTTCGTTTGAACACCTTGATATATGGCGTCCTCAAATGGCAAAACAATTTTGGAAAGTACCGCCCCACCATTGTCTCGTTGGTGTGGTGAGCGCACGGCGTTCTGATGATTCATGGAAGCCGTTGTGCGGGAGGCAATGATTTCACAGAGACAGGTGCATGAGGACTGCCAGCGGAAAGCCGATTGAAAGACAGGCACACCAAAAGCAGCCAAGTTCAGAAACTGAAAGCTAGTCAACACACTTTGGTCTCTCAGGGTTAGAAGGAAACTACGTGAAGGGCTAATTGGCTTTGATATGTATGTTGTTGAGGATACCCTTTTTGCGGTTTGGTTCTAAAGGGAAATTCAAAGGACAACTCACATTTTTGGGTACCCCCTAGTTTGACACGAACCAATATTCGTGTGCCACAGCCCGATTTGGGTGAGAAGGTGTGAGTGCTGGCCACTGTCACAACGGAACATCTAGCTGTGACATGCATGCGCCTGAGGGTCCAAACATTGGCCGTTGCAAATCTCACATACAGGAACTCTGTTATACCAGCATCGCTCATCTGCTCGCAGCACATCGAGCTGCATTGGTGGGTGAGTGACAACGCAGTCCACCCTCAGTGGCCTCATGGTGACATGTCGGGATGTGCTCGCAAGATCCTCGTCAATCTCCAGGATAAACAGCTTCTCGTAGATGCCGTTGTTCCTTTGAAATGCCCCAGGCATACCGAGATGAGAACTGCTGACCGCGAGCGCGCCGGTTTGGTTGCCTTACCCAGTGCTTCCGGCTACCTGTACAGTTGGTAACCAGCTTGCTTCCCTACTATATAGTGGCTACTAGCCGGTGGTTCCCAGAACCACACAAAAGGATGCACAGGCGGCAGAACGCGAAAAAAGATTGCCGGAACCGTGAAGTAGGCGGGTCGAATCGTGAATTGGGAGGCTGTGAACACCGTAAGATTGGAGTATGGTTCCTTCTGTTTGGGAACCGAGCCTTGTTCCTGGAATCATGGTAATCACGGGCAGGTGACCTGCCACACAAGTTGCACGGGTTAGATTTCCGCGTGTCCTTTGTCAGTCTCATCTTGATATCCTGCCTGCAACAACCTCAAAGGCACTTGCAAAACTGTGGGCTGCCGGGCAAACAGTTGAAACATAAATGGGTGGCGTTGTCAAAAATAGGGCAACCTCAAAATGGGTTGCCCTGCAAATTGGAAACAAGGACTAAAACTTGTGGTCCCCCTTGAGGGACTCATCTGGGGCTCCGGGGTCCAATGTGTGCCTGCGAGAACATGCGGAGTTTGCCCATGTCAGCTCTTGACCAGAACACCCCTCCCCCCCAGGTCGTGCTTCATGCGTGCTCCGTGACCACCCGACACAGGCCACTACACATCCATGGCTTTGTGTCCAAATAGGGGTAGCGTCCGAAATGGCCGGGGTTTCCTTTAGCTTCTTTTTCAACCAACCCCCACAAATTGTTTTGCCCCAGGACCCAAATCAAAGACCTGCCATCGGTTCTCCCCTTTTAGCCGACACAATCTTGCTGGTGCTCAGTAAAAAGTGTGGGAATGAACCTGGGGATTCCCTTAAAGAAAAGGAAACCATAGGGGATGGTTTTAGGCTGGGTCCTCCAGCAGAGAGGTTAGAATAAGGGTACCCTTTTTTTCTGTAGTCGATTTTAGTAGTTGTTGGAATCCTCCCCCAAGAAAGAAACGGTAAAAGGGCACCTAGCTGGGGGACCTAGTAGGGATCATTCCGATTCTCATTCCCTGCTTGAGCACCAGCTAGCAACATCCGAGCATCGCCGGCTTCTCGCGGAAGCAGTACTCCATCATCGTCTGGCTGTGGCCCACCAATGCCACATTCAACTCCCGCAAGCCTCGGAAGTGCCGACTGACCTACCTCCAGTGAGTCGATGTGCTTCTGTTTTTTTTGTTTTTTTGTTGGGAACCCTGGGCTTGCCGCCATCCTAAAAAAAAGAGAAGGACAACTGCTTGTGAGCTACAAGTACCTGGACGCCACTCTTCCAAGGCCTCTAAAGTGCATGGTAACAATGTCTGAAGTGACTCTCTTGCGCCTCTACGGATTGAATGAGTGACTGTGAGGATTTGCCACTGGTCAACTGCGGGTAAAAAAGCATGAGGCATATATACATTCTCCCCCAAGTTCGAATTAAATCGGGTTAATACATGATCAACCTGAAGATTGCGACTCGGACGGCCTATTGCTCGCTAGTTCTTGCTAGTTTTCCTTGCAGGAAGTATACAAATACGACATAAACGCATGCCAACTTCACCTGGCACTGAACCACGGTCAGTGCAAGAGACCTATGCCAAAATGGGCCGAGCAATAGCGAACGAGCAACATGTCACATTCTCAAAAATAGAAGTACCAAGCAAATGAGCATGTTTCCTCTCCTCTCTCTGAAAATGCCTCTCTCGTTGCTGCAATCCTCGCTGTGACATCCACCGGTCCTATGAATTGCAGTGGTCTCCTTTTGCGTCCTTGGTTGACGTTGGAAGGGGAGCAAAAATCTAAATCTCAGCAGTTAAGTGGTTGGATTTCGACCACTAAACCACCATAAGCAAGAATTTGTAACATGTTTCCCACCGACAAGCATGTGTCCTCCGATTGGCACTGGCTCCCACACGAAGCATTTTCGGGTCCAACCCCCACCCGTCATGTCCGACGATGGCCCCCGCCTGGCGACGAGGAGGTGGCCAAGTAGTCGTCCAAATCGAAATCCTCGCCGAGGCTGTAGTGCTCCTGACCAGATCGAGTGAGCCGAGTCCACGCAGAATCAAAACCAGAAGGCCAACACCAAAGAACGCGACACCTAATGAGTCATAATCAACACCCGGGATCAAAATGCTCTACCCAGAAACACGCAAAGAATTAAGAAGGCGGATTTCCGCAACTAGTTTTGGCAAGGGGATTGTCCCTTACTAACGTTCATCTACGCGGGTTTTGAGCACGGCTGACAGGAAAGAACTGGTTGAAACAAATGGCAAGCCCACCTCAGTCATTACCAAAGGTCGGTATTGAAGCAGTCTACCCAGAACCGTATAAATAATCAAAAAGGCGGCTGCCATCTATGGTTGGGATTGTCCCTTAATCTTCATCTACCCAGAACCTTGCAACAACGCCGAGAAGGTAGCCAAGGTTCAGAATGGGTGTCTCAGAGCTCAGCTACCATTCGAGTCCAGGGTACGTCTTGGAACATCAGCGAAAAAACCGACATGGTCTACGCTGAATCCTTCTTGATAAATGGGTGTGTCCGAACGCCTTTTTGGTTAAAGGAAACCAGCAGGAAAACCACCGCTTCTGTTGTTGTTTACTCTTGCTTTTTTTTGGGGAGGGGTCCCCAAAAAACAGACACACCCTAGGGGCGTCCAAAACCCGGGACGTGTTTTCCAGGAACATTCGAAAACGACGTCGTGCCCGATGCCAAAAAAACAAGAAAACAAAAAACAGGACTGGCTCCTTCATTGAGTCCGTCCAGTGCAGGCCGTTGGACATCGCGCCTGCGACAACGAGCAACTTGAGAGGAGGGCAAAATCAAACGCAAACCTCCAATTCCTCAAGGTCTGGAAAAACTACACCTTGAAAACCAACAGGACAAAAACATGGAAGGACAACTACAAATATGTCCAGTAGTGATAGATCCCCGTGAAAACCAACAGGACAAACAGATGCTCTTCGGCGACTGGCAGAACATGTCACCAAAATGGTTGGAGAGATTCTATGAGAAGCATTTTTGTGCCCGGACCACAAGGCAAACAATTTGCAAGGCAGGTCGGCCTGCGTCAAACGCAGGCCCAAGGGGTATTTAATGGGAATGTAAGCTGCTCTGAGACCCAATGTGGTTGAATGGAGTATAACCAGATCTAAGCCAAGCACTACCTGTGTTGTCACATGTTGTCACGCTGTGAATCACCAGATTCGTTCTCCTGGCTGTCGTGATATTCACTCATGTGAACCGTAAGCACAAATCAAAAACACAAGCAGTAATTGCATAAGCACAGGGCGGAAACAAAAACAAATCATGCCAACGAAAAGCAAAAAGGGGGAAACGCACGTCTGCTCGGTCGGGATGTCTGACCAAGGTCGGAATACGTCTTGGATATTCTTGGCAATTTGCCCTTGCCTACCCGTCAGAAGTACATAAAACACAATGATTGGCAGTGACCTCGAGGCCCACATTCCAAAACGTCAAAAAAAATCGCGGCGCCTGTCGCCGGAGGGGTTTCGATCCATTTTCCGGGACCGACCAGGACCAAAGGCCACTTTCATGTGGGGGTTGATCAAACAGCCCTTTACATTGGGTGACCATTAGGGAAACTACAAAGAAGATAAGTGTCACCACTCAATGGGGAAAACTACCCATGGTCATTTTTGGGCCAGGAATATTGATCAACCCCCATGCCAACACATTCCGAATGCCATGCTGATGTTCTGGTTGTCATGAATGTGCTGTGCCACAATGCATTCGGTGACCTTCTGCTGTCGCACGCGCTGTGAGTACCGATCAAAATAGTTAAACTGTTCAAGTCAAGCTGATGCAACTGCCATGTCCAAGAGCATCTTCAGGTCAAGGTGATACAGAACTACCGTCCAAGCAAAAGGAAACCAAGGGATAGGATAATTATCGCATCCTAAGCGCCATGTCAAATGCATCCTAAGTTCACCTTGAGTTAGCTGGGATTCCACCCAGTGAGTGAGAAGCTGAAGCAACGCACGTTTTTTTTTCCCACCCCGGGCTTGTGAGGTTTTGCTGGGTCCATGTAGGATGGTGGGTTTGTGCCCTAGAGCAGTTGAATCGCCCGAAAAAAAACCACCAATGATCAATCCCTGTTTGAGGGTTTTCCCAAAAAGGCGTGAGTGAAGGGACTTTCAAAAAACAACCCAAAACGGTCTCACCTCAATGGGTCTGTCTTTCTTTGAGTCGTTACCCCCTTTTTTGGTGCGTTTAAAAGGAAACTAAAGGACAACCGCAATGTTTCGGTTCCCTCAAATCCGACACGCCACCAGGGCTGTGGGAAAATGACCACTGTGATACAACAAAAAGGGCTTCCCAAAGACTAACCCCCCTCCAAAAAGGGGAAGATTCCCTTGTATCACGGAAGTGGGGATAAACCAACCCAAATGGGTCCTTTCTGAGTCTGTACCCCTTGTTTGGTGCGTTTAAAAGGAAACCAACAGGCCAACCGCAGAACGGTTCGGTTCCGACAAAAAAAAAAGGCGACACGCCCAAAGGGTGGTGACATTTTCGTACCTCCAGCGAGCCGACCCATCGACGCGAGGCCTCGGTGCCCGGCGTGGGATTCCAAATCCAAAGCTCCCTCCTCCAGCACCGGACGCAAAGAAGCCGCCGGCCTGGGACGCGAAACATCGGACGACCACCGGACCTTCCCAATAACTGGGCTGCCCGATGTCCGATCCCCCGCTAAAGAGTTGAAAACTGTTGGTGGGTTAAATTCGGAAACTACCGAATCTAAACACTAAAAAGCTAAAAAGCTAAGGGGAATGGCTGGGAGCCACCAAGATAAACGTTGCCCCAAAGCAACATGGATGCTTGCGCCCATGCCGGAACCAGTCGGCCATCCCGAAAAATGCCATGAATGTGAACATGAACCATGAGAAGATCCAAGTCTCTGCTACACTTGCGTCGATTTCAAGGGACGGCTTTCTCCCGGAGAGAGACTTGCTCCCAGGTTCCTTCACCAGTTTACGATGCTTGCGGTCGTGTTGGAAGCTTCTGCAAGAGCCAAGCTCGGAGAACTTGCGGCAAAACATGGCGGTGGGTCGAAAAAAAGGTACCCAAAATGGGTTGCCCTGGTGAATGGAAACATGGACTCAAACCTGCGGTCCATATCCCAGTGGTTTAATCTTGACCCACACCATATTTCACAAAGAATCTATGGGTCGACTCTCCACGCCTCATCTCACTTGAGGGGCTTTGTGTCATGCTTGCTGTCACAGCTGCATCATGCTCATAGTCCTCATTAACTTGCTGGTTCTCAGCAGGGAAGGGAAGGACCCTGAACATCATCCATCCTCAGGTTTCCTTTTTTTTCGGGAATCCCCGAAACCGGTTCATTCCCAACAAGCAGAACGGTCATTCCCTGAGCCGTGTTCACCAACCAGAAACGGAAAAGAGGATGCTTTAGGGACCTGAAGAGCTTCTTCACTTGGATCCTGGCTCTTTGTGGAGGGTGCCCCCTAATATGGCCATGGGTCAAAATGCCAAATCGTACCCCCAGTGAACATCCCAATCCCCACTAAAATAGACTAAAACGGGTGGTGCACCTACCCAAAAATAGTACAATTGGTTTTGACCCACAGCCATATGAAGGCAGCCGGGGTCAAAGGGTCTGTTGGCCAAACATTGTCTTGGTGCAAGTATTGCCTCTTGGGGTCGGGAGAAAGTATCACTTGCTTGGGTGCAGCTACGTCAGTAGTGGGGGGAAGACATGTGTGGGGAAACACCCATGTTCTCCAATTTCTCAACTTGAAGGTTTCAAGAACAATTTCATCAAAAGCTGGTTGATGTTTTCCAAACGGTGACAAACCAATCCGACTTGCCATGTAGAAAAACCCTTCGCCTACATGTAACAGAAACACGCTTGGCATGGCCATGGGGAGAGTGTGGATAAATAGGAATCCTTGAACCCCTCTTGTTGGCTTGGTTTCCTCTTGGTTTCCCTAAAAAAACAACCCCCAAAAAGGGCGCTCATGTTTCCCCCTTTTTTTTTGGCGCCGTTAGTGGTTGAAATGAAGCGGAACCCATCCCCCGGGGTTCTCGACCCAACGACCCAACTCACGTGGAATCCGCCTGCCTCAACTCCGGGCGGAGTCTTGGCACCAGCTCCAGCCTGGGCTTGCAAGTGGCAAAGGTTTCCCCACCGTCTGGTGGACACTTGGGCTCTATTTTGCAACCTCCTTCTTTTAGGGTATTTGTTTTTAGGGTTCTTGGTTGCAAAATAGACTCTAGGTGTCCATGGCACGTTTCCCCCCCCCCCCCCACCGCTGGCTGGGCGGCAACTTGCCACCCCATATAAAAGCCAAAAGGAAAACAGCCAAGGGTTACCCGTAAGGGCTTGCTGGGATCGTCAGTTTGAGGAACTCCGAAACTGCCAACGGTGTTTTAGCAAGCTCTGCACCGAGAGTCGTCGCAACCAGCCCGAAAATAAAATAACAAATAACTCGGGGGGAGGGGGGGGGTTGGACTTTTTGGTGGACAACCCGTGACCCCGATGTTTTTGAGGTGACTTTTAGTTGTTTGAAAAGCTACAGGGAAGCCAGGCATAGGGCAGTCGTTGACCCAAGGTGACTCCTTCCAAGTGGAAAGGGTCATAAGAAGAAAAGGACGCAGGGCGAAGAGCATGGAAGAGGAGCATCCAAGGAGTGAAGCTGTCTATTCAAAATGGACTGGACAGGGTCAATGGGACGGATTGTCCACTTGAAGGCAAATCACACTGACGAAGGATTACAAGGCATTTTCGGAGGACAGTGTGTGGATGCACTTTGGAAATCGGGATGATTCGGGTCCATCCCTGACCTGAACATGCTTTGTTTAACCATCACCATATTCTATTTGAACGATACCCAAGGTGTCGACAAACCACCGATACGAGCTTTCTGCCATTCGAGGGAGAAGCCGTGCCCGTGCTCCGGAGGTCAGTGCTTCACAGTTCGCTTGATCCAATCATGTTTATGGCCCAAGACTTGCGTGGCTGGGCAAGTGTTGTAAGAACCCAAAATCTTCCTTGGGAAAACAAAACAAAACACAAAAACCTGTGTTTTGCTGAGCCTTAAAAATATGGTACAACACACATCCGTGGCTGCCGCAATGTGGCAAAGGCTCACAAAACATCGGTACCTTGCGACCTTGCAACTCTGGCGGTGCCCGGACCCCAAACAAAGCCAAGCACCTGGGCCTACCGCGCCTGGCTCTGGCCCTGGCCATTTTGCACTAGCCACGCCCCCCGAAGAGTAAAAAAACAAGTGATGATTTCACCCAAGAAACGGCATTTAGTGGCTAGGGTACCCTTTTTGGGGATGGCTTTAAAGGGAAAGTAGGAAAATCACATTTTTTTGGGGGGTGCCCACTAAAAAACAAAGGCTTCATGTTAAAAGAAACATGGCCCCGGAAACCCAGCTCCGAATTCACGCGCACCAGTTGGGTAATGCCAAGGAACGCGAGCACTGCTTTGAACTTCTCCCAGTGCTGCATGTCCGCAGGAAAGTTCTCCTCCCGAAATCTGAGGTCAAGCACCTGCGCGTGGTTGACGTGCCCACACCTAACATTTTCAAACTCTATGAGAATGGAAATTGCTCTGTTCGTCTACAAGGGCCAAGCACTATTCAAAGAACCTCCTTTCAGGTTCCCTTAAACGCGTCCGGGCAGGCTTGAGCACCTTAAGCAAAAGGAGGGCTGCTATACTGGTTTAAACATAGGGCAGGGCTCAATCCTGCCAGTTGTTTGTAAGACATTCTGCCCACTGGCACATTGGCTTCAAGCCCAGCTTGATGCTTTCTTTGTTCCCTGAAATCGGGAAGGGCTGGGTTCCCCCAAAAACCTTCGATTGGACTTGGTGACCGGGCACCAAGTAGACGATGCCATTTCGCTAATTCGCCTTGCACCAGTTTCGGCCAAAGGAAACAAACTATCAATCAGTTCTTGGCCAAAGGAAACAAAGACCATGACGAAATCAATCAATTGTATCACAAACTATTCAATACCCTTGCCACGAACGCACCCCCGACATGAATTTGTCTTCGCCCCATTCAGCTTGTGATTCATGTCAGGCTCGCGTGCCGCGACTTGTGCTACTCTCTTCAGATTGCCAGAATCACGGACAAGGCGAGCGCTTGGAAACAACCCCTCTGGTGTTCTTTGATCGACAAGGATGTGTGTATATATATATATATATTCACCAACAACTAAACACAAGGACTAATCTGGGTGCGTCATTTTGAGGGTAGCCATTTTTGTGTGGTTCAAAGGGACACCAAAGGAACACCATTGTTCATTATGTATGAGAATCCGTCCGACCCCTTTGCATCAATACAAAGCCAATACCCCCCCCCAAAAAAAAGGTCCCCCCCTCAAAAAAAAGCCAGGTGTTTTCCAACCTGCGCTCAAAAATGTTTCTTTTGTCAGGCCCCCCTCTGCCCCCAAAGAAACTCGCCCAAGAACATCGATGGTGGGTTTCCTTTTGGTCTCGCCCAAAAAGGGGTGGAGGGGAAAACCGCCCCAAGCATAGGTGTCCTTTTAGGGTAAATAGATGGATATCCCTGGTAGATGGGTAAACCAGGAATCGCCCTCTATATTTCGACCAAAACCACCAAAAAGGACACCTATGCCGCCGGTTTTTGATGTTGGTCTCGTAAACCCATCCCAAAAAGGGGTGGAGGGGAAAACCGCCCCAAGCATAGGTGTCCTTTTAGGGTAAATAGATGGATATCGCTGGTAGATGATGAAACCACCAGGTAAACCAGGAATCGCCCTCTATGTTTCGACCAAAACCACCAAAAAGGACACCTATGCCCCCGGTTTTTGATGATGGTCTCGTAAACCCATCCAAAAAGGGGTGGGAGGGGAAGATTTCCCCAAGCCAACCAAAACGAAGAAGGACGATGCCTCCATGAGCTCAGGGTGAAGCTCCTGCAGGATCTGCAGCTGCTCTTCAGACCTTGGAACGTATGACTTCGGCCTCCAGGTTCCAGATGGATGGGCTGCGCAAATCTCAGATGGCACCACGAAAGCAAAACAACGGGAAACCATTGTTTGTCGTTTTTTTCTTCAGGGGAATCAATTGATTTTGTTTGGTTGCTTGCTTATTGTTTGTGCTCCTTTTACGGGGTAATCGAATCATTCTTAGCTTGTGTAGGATTTCGTCCATCCACGGTATGGCCCTCTTTTGTGGAGTTACCACGTTTTCGTTGGCTCCCGCTATCGCAGGACTCCAGAAAAGCCAAGGCAATCGGATGGGAACCCCAGGCTGGATGGTTTGGCCCTAGGGGACCACGTGTTGTCAAAATGGGTGTCTTTGTTGAGGACCAAAGACAAAAACCCACCACCCAAAAAAGCCACACCCACATGGGGACAGGCTGAAAGCAGAGGGACCCACGGGAGATGATTTAGCCGAAAGCTTCCTACAACAGCAGTATACAAGAATACATGTCCAGATCAGGGGCCGAAAGCGAGAATCGCTACAGCAACCTTCACATGAAGAGGGCCTCCTCTCAAGCTCCATACCAAACCTAGGCTGCTCAGATCCCCTGCCAAAAGATTCACTTGTAGTGGGTTGAATGGAAACCCCCACTAAACTCCCAAAACATCTAAGCAATCTGCAAAGCTACCAAGGGGATGGAACCACCCAGAAACACATCGAGACACGGGGTGTCCGTCTCCACTGGTACAATATTTCGTGGAAGCCGCACTTCGGCTCTTGCGACTCGCACCCTGCCAGCTCCCCCCTCCCCGCGAACAAAAAACAAAAACGGCCGGCCATCTGGCCGAATTCAATTGCATTAGCCAGGGCTGCAGAAAATGACCACTTCTGTGATACAACGGAAAATGGCTTCCCAAAGACTCACCCCCATATAAAGGGGGAGGTTCCCTTGTATCACAGAAGTGGGGATTAACCCCTTGATCCCACAACCCTGGCATTGCCCGACTCTTTGACCCTCCCTCCCCCTCCCCCCTGCGAACAAAAAACACAAACGGCTGGCCATCTGCCCGATTCAGTTGCATTGGCCGACTCTTTGACCCTGGCGGCCATGGCATGGAATCAAAGGCCCGATCCATTGAGAGCTCCTGGCCCAGCTACTTCACCTTGAATCGCCTGCCTGGTAGGTTCAAGCCTAACACTCCAAATCCTGCTGGTCGAAGTGCCAATGTAGGGCTGTAGCGACAAACGCCGTATTTAAGCGCCACACAACTAGCTTGCGTGGGCTTATCGAAACACCACCCAGGTTCCTGATCTGTTACAGGTAGGTCAAACCACAGTTCACGTGCAAGCAACATGCCTTTGTATTTCAGAACCAGCTGAGATATACCCAAGAGGCTCGAAAGGGATGTTGTCCATCTGCACGAAGCCGTGCTCCCCGTGGTGCTTCTCCTATGGCATGGGAAGTTCACCCACAGGGAAGCATCAAGCAGGCCCTAAGTGGAAAATGCAGAAAGATACCATGACAGCTTGTGGATGTCAAAGGGAAACTTGACATGACTAAACAACTACATTTGCTTAACACAACTCCTGAGTGGATTGGCCAACCAAAGCCTAAACCTGTTGCTTTCCCTTGAGCTCAGGGAGTGAGGCAAAGGAAAGCACCACACAAGACAGCAACAGACAAAAACATGCGCCACTGCCAGCTGGGTCTCTATCATGTAGGGCATTGGCGTCAACTGCGCAGGCACCAGCGATGCCAAGGTCTCGTTGCCCTTGGGGCCCAAGAAGAACATGTTGTAGGCCGTCTCCTGCCGGGAATCGGCCGTTTGTTGGGAGCATAGAGTCGTGAGACGCAGCAGCAAAGACGATTAGAAGTCGTTTTGGCGGATGTGGGCCCGTGCTAGCCCGTGGAAAGAAAAATGCTGCTTGAGAAAGGCATCAAGAATAATGCTGCTTGAGAAAGGCATCGCACGCTTGGCTACCTGCAGGAACAAGCGCCCGCGCTCGAGTCGGCTGGCTTACCAAACAAGCGAGGCTTTGAAGCACATGGCCAAGTACTCTACTAGGTCCTCCAGTAGAGAGGTTAGAAGGGCTCCCTTTTTTCTGTAGTCTATTTTAGTAGGGGCACTCTCGGGCACTACTAGTCTATGCAGCGAGTCCCGGAATGACAACTCCAGATCGGCAAGCAAGTGCAGCTACAAGTAACAACTAGCAGGCAGTGCAGCTCGCGGTCGGAGGTCGGGCGGGAATCTCACTTGCTTAAAGAGCCCATAAATCAAAAGTGATCACCTTCTAGGACCACTAAAGCTCGACCAAAAAGGGGGAAAGTAACAGAGTCCAAAGGCCGGCTTTGGGAAACATACATCCCGGACACGCAGGAGAAGCGCTTCTTGGCCTCCCTGTGCTGATCAACAGAAGGCAGGAGCTGGATAAGAATACACATAGGGGAACCACCGTGCTGGACTTTGCTGCACTGGGACTGTGCACTTTGCGGGCACCCGAGTGAATGGCTTGAACTGGCGCATCTCACTCATCTCTGAACAAAGCCGGAGCTCGGCAAGCTCCAGGTGCCACGCAAAGAAAATCCACGGTTGCTACTGAATGTTACTCCGCTGTTGGGATGAAAATGACTTGAGCCAAAATGGTTGTATGTGATTGCCGAAAGATCAATCTGGAAAACCCCCCCCCACCCAAGCCGGACTTGGCTGGGTGCTGTACTGGATTCAGGCAGAGTGGGACAGGCCTGGCCAGCCGAGGGTGCTCCTTTTGGTGCCATTGTTTGCAAAAACATGTAAACATTTTCTGACGTTTTCAAACAGCACCTGTGGACACATGCCAAACTTCCAAAAGCACGGTGCTTTTGGTGCATGTGTCGTCAACATTCTTCAAAACCACGTAAAACACAGTTGTTTTCTTTTTTGTTTTGTTTTGTTGTTTCTTTCGACGTGTTCCACAACAGCACACATCAGTTTTGCACATTTTCGCTAAACTGGTGACAATCATTGGAGCCTCGCTGCTGATGGGATTTTTCACATTTCGCACGATTCCGTCCTTCAAACACGTCGAACAAATACGGTGTTTTGCACGTTTTCGCTAAACTGCGGCCACGTTGGGGCGATGTTGGTCCGGTGGGTATCCCAAAAGAGGGGGACAAAATAGGAACAAGCGGAGGCGTGAGGGGTGGCCTGTTGTTTGTCACCGCAACGGGTCCCTGTGTCCAAAACGTGCTCTCCTTGGCGCCCGTGCTTTTTGTCTGAAGGAACCCTTTTGGGATGGTTTTAGAGGGAACCAAGCACCGTTTTTTTGCGGCAACACCCAATGGCTTTTGGTGAACGTGTCAGTTCAGGCCGTTCGTCAACAAATGCGCAAATGAATACACACATGTTCATACAAATATGTGCCAACCATATGGGTCTGTTTTCTTTTTTGGGGTACCTCTTGTTTCTGGTGTGTTTAAAGGGCTACAGGACAACCGCCATTTTAGGGGTTTCAGCCTTTAAAAAAACTCCCAGATGCGAAAAGACACGGGTATGCTTAGTAATCAAAATTACCCTCCCCCAAAACAAAATCACATCTCCCATATGCGACAACAAAAACAACATGATATCTTCCCCCCCCGGATTTGTTGTTCATTATTATCATTATTATGATCATTTTTATTGGGTTTTAATCTTTACATACTAAAAACAAAACATCTGCGAGAAGAGCATGGTATACTTTCATGTGATCCTGAACCCCAACGAGACCTCAACGACGCTTCGAAACTCGGTCTCCATGGCGCGCATGAGATTGCTGGAGCCCACAAAGTCCAGCTGCGGGAAGCCTCGAATCTTCGGTCAGGTCGGTTCACGTGGCCCATGGGAGCTATGGAGATCACCGGTAGAGGGACGCCACGAAGACACCAACAAAAGAATCAGAATGCAAGTGCATGTAGGCAAAGATTCATGTACATATATTCATATATATATATATATGAAAAAGGGTCCATATAGCTGCAAAACATCCATTTGGGTTCGCGAGTGGAAGAGGATGCCAGAGCCGAAAGTACAGGTTAGGGTAGGTTGCCAGGATGGGTCATAGTGAAAACCCGCCAATGCAGCTGGAGCTTTGCATTCAAAGTACCTACGCAGCTTGTATGCCAAGTCCGCGCATGAGCGTGCAGAAAGTAAGCGTGCCGCCTTACGCTGAGTCCACCAGTTGCTTCACTAATGTTTTCTGCTGACAAGAGCCCAACTTTGACCACAGCATTTGCGGCATGAGCCAGAAAAGGGGCCCTTGGGCTACAGTCTACGCCAATACCTACGCGGGGCCTACGCTGAGCGTCAACCCGTCTGAGATCCTCAGTAAAAGGCCAAGCAAGAACGCTCTGCTATGTCAATGTCAGCGGGCTTTCAACAGGGCAACATTCTTCCTTGGCCCCTTTACTACCTATGAACCAAAACAACTCTGCTCACTTGGACTCTATAAGGTGAATCAACAAAGACCATGGGCAACACGACATGCCATATGCCACTGAATCTGATGTCAAAGAATCCGACTGAATTCATTGGACATGGCTGTGGCTCAAACAACGCCGCCGCGATCCAACCACTGAACGCATCAAAATCCGCGGCGCCGATGTTCGCCAGGTGCTCCAAAAAGCGGCGCCCGGCCTCGGCACATGCCAAGTCATTTGGGTGGCTCGTCTTTTTCGACGTTGGTACCACTATGGTGAGTTGGTACCACCAAAAAGGGCTACCAGAATGATGACTCCTTAAAAGGGCTCTTATTTTTGATGATTTTTGTTACCCCTTTTTTCTAGGCCGGCTTGATTCCTTTCCCATTCTTTTCAACCATCGTTCTCTCCAACAACCGGATCCGCTTTCTTTGGGTTTCCGGAGGTTTTCCAGAAAGATCCGGATCCCTGGGTTCAGCATGGAATTGGAAGGTAGCCCTCTATTCTTCGGTGGTTTTTAAAGGGCACGCATAAGGATAACCACCATTTTGAGGGGCACGCGTCAAATTCACCCACCTTCAACCCGTGGGACTGCCCGCCAAAGGTGCAGGATAAGCTGTCCGGTTCAAAAAAAAGTTCGGGCGAAGGAGCGGGCGTACGCGGCGTAAAGCAAACGCCGATGTGAAGCTTCAATCGGCCAGTCTTGGACTGCGGCAACGAGTTTCATTTTTTTGGGATACACAGCAGAACAAGGACGATTCAGGGCACTTGTCAACACTTGTCAAAGTGTCCCTCAGACATAATTCTGTGGAGCGGTTGCGCAGCATAGGCTGAAGCATCACCGTATCCATTGAACCCCCAGCACATTGAATCTTGAAGATGTAATATGATGAGCAAATTGTTTACTCATCAAATTACATCTTCAAAATAATGTCAGTAAATAAAACGATTGTAAACTCCTAGGCGTGCGCGTGTGGGTTTTTGTGAGCAGCCATTACCCGACAGGTCCATCAGGAGAACGGATCGTCTCCGATCTTAGCGGCTCAAACCGTAGAAACCTTTTTGGGGTGTTGCTTGTCTAGGTCCTCCAGATTGAGAGGCTAGACTAAGTTGGTACCCGATTGTTTTCAGTTTTGTCTATTTTAGTAGGGGAAGCCTCCCCCAAAAAAGAAAGGGTAAAAGGGCACGATTGTGGGGGACCTACTTGTCTTTACTGCCTACCAAAATATCTTCAAACATGGCCACAATCAACAAAACGCTTGGACAGTCCCCACGGCTTTTGGGATTTCCCAGTCACCCAAACTGACCAAACACAGAGCAACTTGTCGAGAAAACAAAAAGGGAAGAAAAGCCTGTGCCCCGCCTGCTGAGACTGGAAGGCGGCGCAGTCTGTAAGCAAAGGATCCTGCGCAATTCGAGTCGGCCCAAACTGCGCAACGATACTAGGGACCCTCGCTTCAGGGTGCACGGCTTGTTTCAACTTTCTACAGCACCAGCTGTGAACCAACAAACGCGGTTTGACCATCTTCCAGGAAACCAAGTGGGGGCTCTTTTTGCTGGCTCACAGTGAATCTACAGGCAATGAGCAAAGCCAATCAACCTATAGCTCAGTTGCCCAAAGGACCCTGAAATCAAAGGTTGAGTCCATGTTTTGCACCTTTGCTAAACATTGACCAAAATGGGAAAACCACAAGGTCAAGGTCGGCTCTGGGCAAGTCAGATAGGTTTCAGAATGCTTCTCAGTACCCATCCTGGTAGAGGCCGTGGAGGGGAATGATGCCCCCGCAGCAGTTGGGCTCTTGGCAGCTTTGGGCGCAGCTGGGGGATTTCTTGCCCATCCACTCGTGCAGCTCCGTGTCGCCTGGCCGACAGAACGTCCGTGTGCTTGCGCTAGACAGGCAGGTGGCCGCAGGAGCCAAGCCAGCAACCAATCAAAACCAACCAATCAAAACAAGCCAGTCAAAACAAGCCAACCAACCAATCAAAACCAACCAAGCAACCAAGAAACCAAACAACCAAGCAACCAAACAACCAAGCAACCAAGCAACCAATCCACCAAGCAACCAAGCAAGCAAGCAACCAAGCAACCAACCAACCAAGCAACCAAGCAACCAAGCAACCAAGCAACCAAGCAACCAAGCAACCAAGCAACCAAGCAACCAAGCAACCAAGCAACCAAGCAACCAAGCAACCAAGCAACCAAGCAACCAAGCAACCAAGCAACCAAGCAACCAAGCAACCAAGCAACCAACCAACCAAGCAACCAACCAACCAACCAACCAAGCAACCAAGCAACCAAGCAACCAAGCAACCAAGCAACCAAGCAACCAAGCAACCAAGCAACCAAGCAACCAAGCAACCAAGCAACCAAGCAACCAAGCAACCAAGCAACCAAGCAACCCAAGCAACCAAGCAACCAAGCAACCAAGCAACCAAGCAACCAAGCAACCAAGCAACCAAGCAACCAAGCAACCAAGCAACCAAGCAACCAACCAAGCAACCAAGCAACCAAGCAACCAAGCAACCAAGCAACCAAGCAACCAAGCAACCAAGCAACCAAGCAACCAAGCAACCAAGCAACCAAGCAACCAAGCAACCAAGCAACCAAGCAACCAAGCAAAGCAACCAACCAACCAAAGCAACCAAAGCAACCAAGCAACCAAGCAACCAAGCAACCAAGCAACCAAGCCAAGCAACCAAGCAAGCCAAGCAAGCCAAGCAACCAAGCAACCAACCAACGAAGCAACCAAGCAACCAAGCAACCAACCAACCAAGCAACCAAGCAACCAACCAACCAAGCAACCAAGCAACCAAGCAACCAAGCAACCAAGCAACCAAGCAAACAAGCAACCAAGCAAACAAGCAACCAACTAACCAAGCAACCAAGGAACCAAGGAACCAAGCAACCAAGCAACCAAGCAACCAAGCAACCAAGCAACCAACTAACCAAGCAACCAAGCAATCAAGCAAACAACCAAGCAACCAAGCAACCAAGCAACCAACCAAGCAACCAAGCAACCAAGCAACCAACCAAGCAACCAACCAAGCAACCAAGCAACCAACCAAGCAAGCAAGCAAGCAAGCAACCAAGCAAGGGCACATTGGACTTGGACAGCCTATCACTTCGATTCATTTCAGCAACTCAGTCCCTCCGCTGGCAGAGGCGGCAGCTCGCCAAGCGCGCAGAGCAACACCCACAAGGGGCCAGCGAGCACGAGAACCAGCAAGGACGTAAGCCAGCAAGCCAGTGAGCCAGCTGGGTATTCAACTCAAGACAAGGAAGTCATTCATTGACTTTCTTCCAAACCATGTGCTTTTAATGAAAAGTTATTGTCTCCTGTAACTTCCAAGAAGTTTTGGGGCATTCTGGCAAAGCAAAGCAAAGCAAAGTAATGCAAGCAGCAAAAACAACCACTCATGCAATCAAAGGCCAACAGAGCAGAGCTATCAACAGCCTCAAGAAACGTCGATCACCCTGTCTGGCCTGGAAACCTCTCCACCATGCAGCTGCATACGCCTGGGCCCTTGGCAGGGTCTGCATCTTCGTTGGCCAGCTCCTGAGGCTGAAGAAATCGCTCTGGCGGTTTATCTGTAGCGCCGATGGGCCGTTCAATTAAGTATCCTTTCTCCCAGAAACCTGGGCCCGATTTCCGATCCCCCGCTGAAAGTTGAGATTCTTTCGTGGGTTAAATTCGGAAACGACCGAATCTAAACACTAAAAGGATAGAAGGCTAAGGAACCGGATGGCTGGGAGCCACCAAGAAACGTCCGGCACCTGAGGATACCTGGAAGATCAATTCTCTTACAGCGACCGGGTCCCTGTCAGGTGCCATGGCAACGGTGGGAGGGTACTTGTACCATTGGAGCGCCAAACTCTTTTGGTTTGGTTGTGGAAATCGTAACCAGCTCGAGGAATCTCTGGTGATGATTAAATAAAGTGCGCTCAGCGTGGCTCCTTACCCACCCTTTCGAGGTCGCCTTCACTCCCAGTCGCAAAACAGGAGGCCAACCCTCCGAATTTGGGGCCCAGCCCTGTGGAGGAAGTATAACCCTTTCTGGTGACCTCAGTTGTGTCGTTATTGTTTTGGGGATACTTCTTTTGGACTGCTCCCCTAAACCAAAAGCAAACTTACCACCCCAACTCCTCCCAAGATTCTAGGGGGTGCTTCCCCATTCTTTCGAACCAACCTTCTTGCCGCATTCTTGCCGTTTTGCCTGGATCCCTAAGATCCTGAAAGCCGCAGAAGGCATCGGCGCCCGAGGACTTGATCTTGTAGCCCTCCTGAGATCCGAGAAGTTTTTGGGAGGAACAAACGGCCCTGGCACGAAATATTCCGAGCCCTTGGGGCTCATGGCCCTTGGAATAAAACCCATCAAAACCCAAGTTCTTGGAATTCATGGCCCTGTCTGAATGCAATAAAACCAATCAAAACCAGTGCCAATGAAACAAAACCAATCAACACCAGTGCCATCAACCCCAAAGATGGGGGGGAGGTGTGGGATAGGGATTGCAAATGGAAACCGCCGATTTCTTGGGGCCCCGGATTTTGATAACTTTTGTTCCGTGAAAAAAAGGGGACAAAGGGCGTCTGTCTTCTGAACTTGGATTTAGGTTCAAGGGTTGGAGGTGAGGCATACTTGATCATTGTCAGGTCCCGAAAGGTAACATAGCGAAGAAAAAAACGTCTTTGCACAAATCATTGGGAGCCTTTTCATGACGCTTCTTGCATTTGGGGACCGCATCGCAGAAGCCTGTCTTAGGAGTCTGCGAGCTGCAATCCAATAATTTCCAAAGGCGGACGAGCGAAAAACCCAGCAAACATGTCTGAGCCACAAACCCCCGAACATCAACTGCAACACGAAACTGACAGCGGACATCCACAAAACAAAACAGGGACAAATCTACACGTTGAGACCAAACGGATAGAACTTGCCACTGAGCCCAACAAAACATCGCCAGTGGATCCATTTACCTGTATAGTAGGTAACCAAAGGCTCGCCAGCCTTCAAAAACCAAAAGGAACAAAGCGAAGGGTTACTGACAGGGTAACTGGGATCTGGGATAGCCATGCACACCCAGTGTTCAAGCCTGCGCTCTTAGGGCCTTTTGCGAAGGTGTCCTTTGACGAGGGCTACCTAGGCAAAGGCCAACAGGGTCCGGCAACTTCACCCCATTCTGCCCAAATCCATAGAATCCCTTGCGCACCACGTGGATTTGTCTCCCTTCATGAATCCCATCCCCAAAATGGTTGGTTTCCTTTTGGCTTCCCTTCACAATTCGCTGAGCTTGTATCTCCAACAGCCCTGGACTCCGGAACCCTCCCTGAAAGCTTCCCCGAAACGGACCAGATATTTGGGCCCATCGGCCCCAAAGCTTTCAGCTGACGGCATTGCCGGCATCTGATTTGGGGCGATCGACCCAGCCCGCAGCTGCCATAGCTTCAGCTGTGGGAAAAGTCCGGGGTGTGTTTTTCTTGTAGGTGGACCCACCAAAAAACGGGACTTTTCCCGTTGGTTTCTCCGTCTCTGCCGAGGCACATCCAGCTGCGCCTGCTCTGAGAAGTTTCTGCCCAGGCGCCGCTCCTCCGCAGCGCCGCCGTTCCGGGCCCCTGAAAGGCCGAAGTGCTTCCGCAGCGACGCCTCGAGGAAAGGCGTGCGTGCGGCACCCACTGGGTGTGGCGAACCAAGGCCAACCCTCAGATGCCCAGTGCGCTTCCGTGGAAAAAAGGCACCCTTGTTTTGTTGGTTGAGTTTCAAACAATCGGAACCAGGGAAGCTGATACATGGTGTTGCGGCGTGGCCAGTTTTTTTTGAGGGACGGGGTTCGAAAATCGGAATTCACCTAACATGGAACTCTGGTAAAATGGAACAAGTCCAGCTTGTCTGGGCAAGACCCCATAGCTTGCAGGGGAAAATAGTCCAAACTCTGCGTAACCCGAGCTCCTGAATTTTCACACACACTCAAATGAAGTCAATTCGCATTCAGGGACGGCTCTGAAGCGCCGACAGAAATGCAACTGATGGTGAGTTTCTTTCGGAGTTGTCACTTCTGAACCGGTTTCCGGCCACTGTCCCGTCATTTCAGCGTGAATACATAACACCAAAAACTTCGCTGCGCGTCCTGTGGCAGGGCACCATTGAGATTCAGAAAGTCAGCGGGTCAAGAAGCCTGACTCTTTGCTGCCGGCAAAGCAGAAGCAACAAAACAGTTCGGCCATCGCTGTTCTGCACGTGCGAATCCCCCCATCGTCACTCAAAATAGTTGAATCAACTCGGCCACTCGCTTGTCAAACAACCTTATGTAGGACTTTGTTCCTAACTTTTTGGATTCCAGCATATTTCTTTGCAAGGATCAGTAAACCTCAACACAGCAGCTGCTTGGGGCTCCAAGACTTGATTGCTCCTGACCCCCCTGCAAAAAAAACTTTTTTGAGTGGAAGACCCCTTAATTTCCCAAAAAGTTAAAGTCTAAAGATCCAACCCACCACAAGCTGACTGTATGTTCCAGTAGTCTTAGCAAGCGTACCCCAACCAACAAACAGGACGCAGTTGCGCCAGGTCGCAACCTTTCGCAACTTGTTACACGCCCCCCACCCCCCCCCCACCCCCCACCCCCCCCCCCCAAAAAAAAATACACACACACTATCCAAAAGCCCCCCGCCCCCCGCCCCCCGCCCAGCCCCCGAGCAAAACTACTCACAACCAAAAAGCGAACTGTGCACCATCCCGACTCAACACGTCATACCTCTCGGACACTCGGTCCATGCACCGCCCCGAACTGAAGAGCTGCAGAACGGGTGGAGCTTTGGGCCGTTTGTGGTATGAGCACGAGGGTAAACGGGAACTAGCCCTAAGCTCCAACAACTAAGGGCTATGTACCTGATATAGTAAATTTGCTTTAGAACTACTAAGTAGATTAGCTGCGTAGGAAACAACAAACAACACCAACACATAGGGCTCTTCAAAATGGAGTCCTGGAGGGCTGAGCAAACGACCAATCTCAATCCATCCCAATCCCCAATCCCAGGCAAACCGTCTTTCCAAAGCCCACGGCAAAACTGGCAAAACCAATTTGCGGAATGGCTTACTCGAAAGGTGCAAGTATCCTTTGAGGATTTTGAGGATGGTTGGGGGTTGAAAGGGGCTACAGTACCTCCTCAGATTACAGTACATACCTTATGGAATCCCTAAGGGGGGGTGGTCCAAGCCAAGGCTCCCTAAAGAAATCTAGGGAACCCTAGGGACGTTAGGGATCCTTAAACTTTTACATCCAATATCTCCGCACAGCCGTTTGGAGCTGCCCACGGCTAAGCGCCTCAAGCTCGCCCCGATGGTCTTGAAAGAAGTCCTCCACTTGGCCCGGGTCCTGTCGAAGCGAAACGAAAAAGGATGCGAAGCGCGTCGAGCGGCGGCTTCCCGACGCCAAACCCTTGCGATCCGTGCGAGAGGTGGGGACTGTGGTGGAATGAGTCCCCAAGGACTCCACCGCTTAGAGGGTTTGTCTCGGGCTCATTTTCGAAAAACAATATCCCTGAGCACCGGCCAGAAAATGAGGGCCTCGGGTGATAATTCATCAACTTCTTTTCACGGCTTCGCGAAAGGCCAGGGGGCTGATGAATGGAAAGATTTCCAGTCCTCACCCAATTTCAGTCACAATTTGTTCAGCGTCCAAAAGTGGAGCCCGCGTTTTGCTCAACGTGTCGCGAAACCAAGCGATGAATAAAACTGAGCCATTGAGACAAAGCGCCGGAATCGAAACTGCTGCCAAAGGGTCTTGTGATATGGGTCTTCTTTAGGGGGCCCCCCACAATGGTGGTTTTCCTTTCAAACCAAAAAAGGGATACCCTCAAAAAAGACACACCCATATGGTAGTATCCTTCTGATAGGCCTTGCTAGCCAAAGGTCTCGGGGGCTTCCGGGAAAATAACGAAACCTTGCTTGATGGCCCGGCCCCAAAATCAACCTGAATCCACAGGTCACCGTCGACATTTCCTAATATTTGCTTCGTCGGCGACTTCTCTGGATGATGTTCGTGTCCGGTTGGTACTCCACTTCTCGCGATTCCCAGGATGGGAACCCTCGGGGAGGGTTCCCGGGGGAGTGCATTCAGTAAATAGATTTGAACAAAAGGCTTGCCATTTCGAACAAGCTACCAAAACACTGTCTCCGAGAAACTCCGGTTGGTTTCCTCTTGGTTCCACCCAGAAATCCCCGAACAACCAAAACTATGGTCGCGGTCGATTCCGGTCGATGTGTTCGGTTTTCGGGGGCGCCTTGCTGCACTTGTACTGGAGCACGTTGGCACAGGACAGCCCGTGCCGAACCCAGAACACGCGGATCTTCAAGACCTGTGCAGTGGCCAGCGGCCAGCGAAGCTCGCCATGGACAAGAATACGGTTGCCAGGTCCTCCGGTACAAAGGTTAGAATAAGGGGAATAAGGGCTCCCTTTTTCTGTAGTCTATTTCAGTAGGGGAACCCTCCCCCAAAAAAAGGTAAATGGGCCCCACTAATTCATTTTCGGGGACCCGAAATGGAGGATGTCCTTGTGGGGATTCATGTCTACAAATGACTCTTGCAGGCCTCTGCAAAACTTGGTGCAAGACTCTGCCTGTCATTTGGAGCGCAAGTACAGAATCAGACTCAAGTTGGCTGACCTCAAACAGTGTCCATTTCATAAGCTGACCCTCCATGAGCTGTCATGCCTGTCCACAAGGCAAACCGGAAGGGTCATAAAACCCTGACTGGCCTGACTTTGTCGTCCGCGCACTGTTCAGCAGCCAATCGCCATCGTCCAACAACACACAAATACTATTCCTCTGCCAGGACCCTCCTACCACTGGTTCTTGGAGAGTCATTACTTGCAATGGATATTGCACATTAGAAAAAGCATTTGTTTGGGTTGGTTGGTTGGTTGGTCGGTCGGTCGGTCGGTTGGTTTGCTGCGAAAGTACACCATGCATTCCCACTTGGATGTAATTCATACTGATTACCATTGCATGGCTCAAGATGACAAAGGTGCATTTGCTGCCTTGGTTGATTAGCAGAGATTAGTCTCTGATTTTCCCATGGTAGCGGAGCTCGAAGATTCAGGAGACCTTAGGGAAACCTGATTCTGAGAGCTGCCATGGCACTCGGACAAGATGAGGATTTTGCAGGAAAGCTAAGACTTCCCATGCCAGGGAAATTCACTGGCAAGCCAGAGGACTGGGAAGATTGGAGCTGGGATTTCAGGACATATTTGAGCATGTTCCTGCCAGATTCAACAACGATTATGGACCGCATTGAGGCCAACGCAGACACACCCATTGAGGACGCGCATTTGAATGTAGCGGGTAACCAGGATGCCACAGACAGAAGGATTCAGAATTCCCGAAGGCTGCATTATTTGTTAGCAAATTTGTGCAGTGATTCAGCAAGGCTGGTAGTCAGGCAGAACATTGGCTGCAATGGTTATGAAACCTGGAGGAGATTGTATTCCAAATTTGCATTGCCGGACGCAACACGGCACATGAGTTTACTTAGCCAGATTTTGGAATTCAAGTTTCACTCCAATACATTTGAACAAGATTTCAACACCTGGGAGACCATTAAGGCCAGATATGAATCTCAAACCGGCCAAGCCATTCCTGATAGCATTCTGGTGGCTACCCTCTTGAACAAGACAACAGGCCCATTGCAACAGCATTTGAGGCTCAATGCTTCGGCATTGTTGACCTATGAACAAACACGAAACGTGATTGTGCAGTACCACCATTCCAGGCACATTCTTAGGAACATGCCGGGGAATGACAACCAAGGACCAGCACCCATGGACATTGGGGCGCTGAAAGGATTCAAAGGAAAAGGCAAAGGCAAAGGATTCAAAGGATTCAAAGGAGCCAAAGGACCACATTGGTCATACAACAAAGGAGCATTCAGCAAAGGAAAAGGAAAAGGAAAGGATTTCAAAGGCAAAGGCAAAGGAAAGGACCCAAAAGGAAAAGGAAAGGATTCCAAAGGAAAAGGAAAAGGGTCGATTGCAACCTGCTGGATTTGCGGCTCTCGCGGCCACATTTCCAGAACATGTCCGCAGAGAGCTGTGAGCGGAGTGATTGAGGAAGATTGGAATGAAGAATGGTCCGAAGAGCCCTGGCCTGATTCGTCGTGGCCTGATGGCTCATGGGACATTGCTGGATTGAGTTGGGATGAAGGAGAAGATTGGTCCTGGGATTCGTCTTGGGGATCATGGGATTCTGTGAACTCTTGGGACCACCCTTGGGATTGGTTTCAGGACAGTCAGATTCCAGAGCCTCCTGCTGGATGCGATTCTGCCGCGTTTTCATCGGCAGGACCACCCCCAGCAGGAGATTCACAGCAAGGAACCATTGGAGCAGTGACACAGGTGCCGCCGGGATTGAGTCCAAACATTGGCTCAACTCCCATTCGGCCAAAGGCCAAGCCAAAGGCCTCATCATTTTTGATTGCTGCACTTGTCATGAATTCGGTCACCTCAGGATCATCCTTTCAGATTCCTGCCACTCGTGGCAGTCCGTCTGAGGGTGAAGGTGAAAGTTGGATGACATTTGGAGAGCATGAAAGATTGTTTAAGTCGATGTATTGCTTGGACACTGGATTGGATAGCATGCCATGTTTGAGTGCCGGATTGATTGCCCCTGTTCCCGGACAAGACTTGTTAGATTGGTATGATGAACCAACCCCAGTGAAGGATTCTTTTCATTTCGTGACCACCTTGAAGGACTGCGGCTTGGATCACTTGAATTCGAAGTTTGTTGACACATTCTTGCATGAACAGTTGATTTCAGCAGTCGAGGATTCCACCCCGTGGATTCTATTTGATTCAGGAGCATCTGCCCATTGCTGTCCGCCAGACTTTGGTGAACAATGGCCATTGCTTCCATTAAATGGAAATGGCCCACCATTGAAGAGTGTCACAGGACAGCCATTGAACATGTATGGGAGAAGATTGGTTGGCTTGAACTTGGATGGACAAGATTGCTTCATGAATTTTTATGTTTGTGACGTGCCTTATCCGATTGTGTCGGTTGCACGATTGCTGCTGCAGGGATTCCGCGTAGCATTGGATGGACCAGACTCATTGGGATTGTTTATGCCCAATGGTAAGGTAGTGAGTATTCACCGAAAAGGCTCACTGCTTTTCCTAGGTCCGAACATTCTTCCATTTGACAAACCCCGATTTGAAGAAGTGTGTCAAGAGTTTCATTCCAAGTTTGGTTCAGATTCTTCAGGGACCATAGCACCCACATTTAAGCCCACCATTTACCACAACGACAGTTGGGAACTTGATCCGCAACGCGCTGTGCTGATTCGACATCACAAGCGCGCAAGGCGTGCGTTATTCACGCCAGGTGGCACCAAGGACAGGCCCATTCCTGTGGAAGATGTGGCGTCCAGACGCACAACTTACGTCCGATTCGAAGATGGACGTGAGGAGACCATCGCCGACAATTGGCGGACGATAGATTCTCCGCAACGGGCGTTGGATCAGTACTGGATGGGAAGGACAGAATTCCCGTTGCAATCCTTGCCGACGGCAAGACGATTGACGGGGAAGCAATCCACAATTGCAAGACCTCCCATTCAGGAAGCGTCAGTGCCAGCAAAGAAACCTCATTTGAAAGCGCAACCGTCTGCTGACATTGGCCAGGATGATTATTCCCGGTCAGTGAAGGAGCTGACGACGGGAGAATTGGAAGAAGCGAAGGAAATTGTGGAACGGCGATTGTGCATGAGTGACCCGGAGACAGGAGGACCATTCGGACATGATGAATGGTACCTCACACCCAAGTTTGACATTAGGATACACCATGAGTGGAGGAATTGTCTGTATGTGCCAGATGAGACCGATTCGGCCGCTCCCTCCAAGGAATTGCTGGGGAACGAGAGGCACACATTGGCTGTGTTCCTCAACGGGAGACTCCAGTGGATTCACGACCACTGGGCTGACCCAGAGGCTGCTGCTACGGAATTTCCTGAGCCATTCAAAGGCGCGACGATTTTTCGTCGGCAGTCTCAGCAATTCTTGGAAGAGAGCAACCCGGACATTCCGGAAATGTCGGCTCAACGGCCAAAGGGATTGTACGTTCCCAAACAGCCGACGGACGATGAGATTCGTGAACATGAGTTGACTCATCTGCCATTCAGATCATGGTGTGAGATTTGCGTCAGGTCGAAGAGCAAGCAAAACCAGAGTCGTGCCATTTCGGTGCGGCAACCTGTGATTCAGGTGGATTACGCCTTTATGGGTGATTCACAAAGTGACACACAGGTGACATTGCTCACGGCCACTGATGTACTGAGTGGAATGGGATTGGCGTGCGTTGTTCCGTTCAAAGGACGCATTGTGTATGCGCAAGCAGAGTTGAGGAAATTCGTGTTGGAGATTGGAAGGACATTTGGGATTGTTCAGTGCGACCCTGAAGCTTCATTAAAAGCCTTGGTCGAGGCAGTCACGGGTGACATTGGTGGATTGTCATACCGTGAAGCTCCCACTGGCTGGAAGCAAGCTCAGGGATCCATTTCCAACATGCAAGCAACATTGTATGCTCAGATTCGTGCTTTGAAGCTTGACATTCAACATAGGTATGGCATGTCGGTTAGCGTGCATTCGCCATTGTTTCCTTGGATTGTTAAGCACTCCATGTGGCTTCTAAACAGGTTTCTTCATCGGTCTGATGGATTCACTCCATTTGAACGACGATGGGGAAAGAAGTATGGAGGTGCATTGTGTCGAATTGCCGAGTCTGTGCAGTTCCGATTGCCTGCGCCTAAGTCTGAGCCATCGTGGCATTCAGGCATTTGGCTTGGACGTGACACCACATCCGACCAGCATTTTGTGGCGGATTCCAATGCTGTGTACAAGGTGCGAGGCATTCGGAGACTTCAGCCGGGATCACAAGTCAAGCGAGATTTGATGCAAGGGTTGCGTGCATTGCCATGGGATCCAAAAGGATCCAAGGTCGAAACGGATTCGTTCATCCTTCCGGGTGATTCTGCTGTGCTCCAGAAAGGTGAACCCCAGCCACCTTTGGGGATTCCACCAACTGACGAGCAAACAGAGGAGCCAGATCACGATGGAACTGGTGAGGATTCGTCAGCCCAGTTGTCCCAAGGATTGACGCGAGGTCATGAGGACATTGACAGGGAACCTGGAGAGCATTCGGAGTCTCCAACCAATAGGCGCAGATTGGCAGAGGCAAGAGGCATTAAGAGAACCAGTGAGCAGGCAGAGATTCCTGAAGCGGATTCTACTGTAAGCTACATTTCTGCCATTCTGCCATGCGAGTTTGGTTGCACATTGGTTGAAGATTGTAGGATTGCCACAGTCACCACGCGTGAGTCATTGGACTTGCCCATTCATGTAAACCAGGATGAAGAAGAATTAGGGAACATGAAGAAATTTGCCAATCCGATTCTGTGGGGAGAGTCTGAATTCCCCAGAGATTTGGAAGAGGCAGGAATGAACAAGGAAATGAATTCCATGAAGGACTTTGATTCGTATGTAGAAGAGAAAACCGAGGATTTGACGCAGGAAGAAGTTGATTCAGCAATTTCAATGAAGTGGGTTAAGTCTTGGAAAGGAGCAGAAGTGAAGTGTAGATTGGTAGCCCGTGGCTTTGACCAATACATTGAAGATAAGGATGACACATTCGCTTCTACCCCAAGCTTGTCCACATTGAAGTTGTTGATTGCGTTGTCCATTGCCATGAATTTGGATGTTGTGATTGCAGACGTGTCCACCGCATTCTTGCATGCGACGTTGTGGCAGAAGATTTTTGTCATTCCTCCAAAGGAGTACTACCCTCAAGGGGGCGTACTTTGGCGATTGAAGAAGGCATTGTATGGCCTGAAAGGTTCGCCAAAGGCATGGCAACAGCATTTAGCCAAGACCATGCTTGACGCGGGATTTGAGCGTTTGAAGTCAGATCCGAATTTGTACCGACACAAGACCAAGAAATTGTGGGCATTGGTCTATGTCGATGATTTGATGTTTGTAGGTGAGCAACGTGACATTGATGAGGTGATGCAAGATTTGAAGAAGGTGCTTCTGATTCGGCAGACAGGTGAATTGAGTGAAGGTAAGACAGTCTCCTTCTTGGGACGTCAGATTCGCCGAACATCAGATTCCATGGAATTGTTCATGTCTCCTGATTACATTGACCGCATGCTGGATTCCTATGGCATGACCAAGAGCAAGCCGGCTCAGACGCCAGGAGGAGATTCATTGCGGAAGTTGCTTGACAACGAATTGTTGAATTCGCAAGAGCATAAATTGTATAGGAGATTGGTTGGACAATTGTTGTGGCTTGCAGCATTGCGTGTTGACATCATGTATGCTGTTAAGGAGTTGTCACGAGGATTGGTTGCTCCCACTGAGGTGCACAAGATTAAGTTGAAGACATTGTTGAGGTACCTGAGTGGAACCAAGGATTATGTCCATGTTATGAGACCTGATTTCCGGATTGGAAGACAGGTGAAATCATTGGACATAAAGGTCTATGTGGACAGCGATTGGGCAGGTTGCACCGATTCCAGGAGGTCCACATCAGGAGTAGCATTGAACATTCTCGGCATCAACATTTCAGCACACAGCAGAACACAGGCCACCATTGCCTTGTCAAGTGGGGAAGCCGAACTTTATGCTATTGGAAGTGGTGCGGCCGAGGCCCTATTCATTAAATCTTTGATTCTGGAAACCCTTGTGGCTCCCAAGGTGAACATCATTCTGTTTACCGATTCAACTGCAGGCAAGAGCATGGCTGTCAGATTTGGGGCATCCCGGAAAACCAAACATGTCCAATTGCGATTTCTGTTTGTCCAGGAGCTGGTTTCCTCTGGGACCCTGGTGATTAAGAAGATTCCGGGAACCCTCAACCCATCTGACATTTTAACCAAGTATGTTGCCAAGGCAATTTTGCAGAGGCATAACATCACATTAGGGATTTGCCCTTCAGGTAGTAGATAGTCAACATGATTCTGTTTCACTTAGTCAGTAGTCAAGACATTTTGCCACGAGTGAATTCGAAGCCATTTCATGCATGACTGCAACATTTGTTTTGCTCAACATTCTGACTGACATTTCGGTGTGCATTTACTTCGACCGATGCGATGGACAGCCTGCATTCCGGAATTTGACGCGACAGTATTTCCACCGGATTCTCGCAAGAGATTTGAAGATGGAGCGCACGAATTTTTCGGAATACAAGGCATTCATTACGGCCACGATGTTGTGGCAGATTCTATTCAGCGGCCAGCAACAGGAACAATTTGGGTTCCAGGATTTTATTTTCATGAACCGATTCGCGGACGATGCCTGGAGTGCGCAGATTCTGATCAGGATCATTCCAAACATTGCGGCTGGGAGTATGTCCTATACTCCATTTGAGAGGCATTTGTGGCTACAATTCCCACCAAGGGTGGAGAGATTGATTCCATTCAACCCCAATTGGAATTTGCAACATTTGAACTTTTGCATGTTGCCATTCATGCTGTATTTCACCATGCCTTCAGCAATGTGGAACCATTTGAAGAGGATTTTTGAGGGCCGTGCCAGTAACATTCCTGAGGCTATGAAGGGAACATTTGCAATTCTTGCTTCACATTGTTTCTGGAACAGTCAGTTTACTGGATTCCATTTGAGCCCGCGTTCGTCTTTGCTATTCTTTCTGTATTCATTCAGCTATGAGCGATCATTTGCACCAGAGGGTGATGCAAAGAACAGATTGATTCAGTATTTGGCGGACACACCAGTGGTGATTGGATTCAGGCCACATTCGCAGCGATTTCTTGATTTCATGAGGCATTCATTTACTCACGTATTTGTGAGGTCTCACATTGACCCCATCATTCACTTCAAGGATTACATTTGGGATTCAAGAGACAGCTTGGCGATGCAGGAGATTTGCTCCATGGCCGGATTCAATATCAAGGCCCAGATTGGGGAATTGATGCTCGCTGCCAATTCATTGCAGCAAAGCAATTCCCATTGGTACCGGGATTACCACATGTTCATTCCCAAGACCTGGAAGACTTCATTGGACAAATTCATGGGCGACTACCAGGAGATTCCCAAGTCACTGGTAGATTCATATTACAGAGCGAAGCTGTGATTCAGCATTGGTGGAGCTGGGATTTCGATTCTGGCCAGGCACCGATTTGGATGCATTTATTCCACACTGGATTTGCATTGAGATTCTATGTTCATTGGATATCGCGATTTTGCCTGGTTCGATTTGCCACTTCATTTGTGATTCAGTTTTCGGCATTTGTGTGGAGGTACAGTTACAACATTACTGTAGATGACAGTTTACTTTTGGTTTGGATTCATCTATGACACCAATACATTGAGAGGACGTTTTCTGGTGATTCTGGAGGCGATACTCTTGGAACACATTCTGTCTGTGATTCGAGTCCACAATACATTCAACCACTTGTCCTTGTGCATTTCCCAGCATTGCAATTCTTTTGGTGATGATTAGGTCACCCGTTTTGCATAGACATTTTGCAGAGAGAAAAGATTTCAAGGCAGCTTGGCATTCTTTGGAATGCATTTGTGCTAGTGGAGTGTGGATTAATTCCACATTTTCCATTAATCCAAGGGGGCGTGCGAAAGTACACCATGCATTCCCACTTGGATGTAATTCATACTGATTACCATTGCATGGCTCAAGATGACAAAGGTGCATTTGCTGCCTTGGTTGATTAGCAGAGATTAGTCTCTGATTTTCCCAGGTTTGCAGTCCCTATTTTGGTTGGTTGGTTGGTTAAAAGTCAGGACCCCCCGTCGCTTTCATCTGCAGGTCCGACTCGCGCACTCCCGCCTGCTTCGAGGACCCCCGGGATTCCCATCGCGCGGCGCCCGCGTGCCAAACGAAAATGGCCTCAGAATGGGAACCACCCCCTCCCCCCCGGTTCCTTGCTTTACTTGTTTGTTTCGTGTGCTGTCTTTCATTTGCGGGGCTTGTTTTAACCTTTCTCTGTCATTCTTCTTGCTTTCTTATTGACATTTCCTGGCGTTTTCCATTTGTATCATTTTTACCGCGGTCGCTTGTCTGCCTGGTGACGTGTTATCCCTGCTTCCTTCACCCCCCGAAGAAGATCAGCTTCCCCGAGTTGGTGCTTTGGTTTGGTTTGGCTTGGAGGTTGAGGGGCAATCTTCCCTCTAGAAGATCCAGGGATTCAAATCCCCAAGCCACGAATCGAAACCACCAACCTGACGGGCTGCCTGAGACACTGAGACAAGGTCATCTTTTGGTCACGGTTTTCGAAGGGAACCAGCACAAGCCCGAGAATGGAAAAGGGTTTTCGATGACACATGGCAATATAAAAACCGCTGTGGCCCATAGTGAATGGTTGAAAATATGTTTGCATTTTTTTCTGATATGATGTGTAACCAGAATTGATAGATTCTCCGAAGGCTGGCAGGATGTCTCTAAAAAAAACAATATCAACGATCCTTGGGACCTTGTCTGGCCAGGATTTCAAGAGCACAATGCATTGTTCAATATGGGTCTGTCTTTTCTTAGGGACAATCCCAGCCCCCCAAACAAATGATTCTGGTTTCCTCCTAAAACCACCCACACCCATATCGCAAATCGACTAGTAGAGAGTCTGAGGGTGCTGTGGCCTTCCAGAGTGTGGTCATAATGCTGCAATGAATGAATGTGTGTTACAGGGTTTCCTCCATCTCCGTTTCACCCCCAAAAGAGGCGATCGTTTCAGTGGATCCACCAGTAACAATCAGCTTTGGAGACGGACCTCCAGTGGCCCCAGTTTGTCACTGTCAATGGCTTTGCAATGTGCGAGTGCGGAATCTAAGGGTGAAGTCAACTCATGTCCCAACTCGGCCAGAACGATCGTATGTGAAACAAAGGCAATTCTCGACATAGGACTGTCATGGCCTTTTGAGGTTTTGTTCAGGGGATCTTGCAGGCCTGGTTCAGGTGACTCGCATAAAGGAACTCGCAGTATGTGTTTAACGACGCGATCGTTGCATGTCGTGTGCAATCAAGTCGAGTTTGACATATTGTGTCTTTCAACATTCACACACAGACAGGGTGGATTACGGTTCAAGAAGCTTTAGAACATATTGTTAATTTGTTGGGTGCTTATTCATGGGTAGGCATGTCAGGATGTCCCCCTTCCGCGCGCAGGTAAACCCTGAACCCTGTCAACCTGCATGCGTTGTTTTTTGAGGGTGGCCCTTTTTGGGGCTGCTTTACAAGGACCCCCCACCTTTGCTTTGTGGTTTCCCCTATTTTCCCACATCGATGAAAGGCGTTGGGTTGCGGTATGCTCCGGGTGCTTCAACTTAGACCACAGGCCTTTTCTGCCTGGCATGGGAGGAAGAAAACCAAACAACAAGCAACGTCTTAATAGTCTCAGATGCCCAGTGGCCATGGGAACACCAGGGCATCCTTTTTCGAATTTTGGGTGGTTGAGGTTGAAGGGGAACCTTTCCCAAACACAGTTGAAAAAAGGGCGCAACTGGGCAACTGGGTAGTTCTTTGTTTGGTTGATTTTCAAGTTTTGGCATGGATCCACTATCTTGGGTGCCCAATGTGAAGGTCTGAGAACGACGCAACGAATCCGCTCACACAAAACCACCCTGTTCCATGGATGTCCCCTTCAATCCTTGCGGCTGGGTGCATTTCCGCCCACTGCCACTTGAGGTCCAAAAGGGGAAACTGGGGAACCCCTGAAAAGGCAAGCCTACGCTCCCTCTCCCTTGTGCTAGGGACCCACCCCGCCAGCGCTGCCAGCACTCGCATGGCGAATCGCCAAGCCGTGGCCGAAAGAGAAAAAACAAAAACGATCCGTCGATCCGTCGCGTCGTTTCTTCTTTTCGCGGTGGCAGGGAGTGCGAGTTTTGGGTCCTCAAACGAAGAGATCAGCAAGACCACGGTTCGGTGCAAATGGCTGCGAGAGAGCTCCAAGCCTCGCCTGAAACCAGCAAGCTCCAAAACCAGCAAGGGGTACTCTCAAAAAGGACACACCCAAATATATCATGCATAGCTCATGTGCTATTATATATATATATAACCGCTATGTGTTGAACTGTTACACTAATCAATAGCCAAAAAAGTGCTATGCCCCTTCAAGTGACGACAGTGGCGGGGGGACCCGTCCAATTCGAGGGACTGTTGGCGGAAATTGGGATCCTACGGGTGTTGCCATTGAAGTCGCTGAAACCGTTCATGCCACCTACTTGTTTCCGCAAAACAACCACCGGAACCCTCACAATTCCCTTAAAAATAGGTTGCAGCCCCCCAAAAAAAGTTGGCGAATTCCTGTTTTATGATACTTTTGAGGGTCCAGGCACCTGATTCTGTAGCAAATCGCTTTTGCCTGGTAGCCAAGTTGCATCCATTCAACATGTTCATGACTTAATGAGCAAAGCAAAGTCAGTTGCATGGACTCATTTCAGATTTCCGACATGTTGGGCAGTGCCTCAAACAAGAACCTGGCACTATTGATATCAAATGAACCATCCTGAACTAAATTGACGACTGCAACCTCCGCGCGTGTTGATGTCAAACGGTCCCAGATCAACAGTCGAGTGTGCAGGCACCCATCGCATCTCGTCCGAAAGAGTCCCATGCAATGGCCGCAGACGCAACGACAGCGGAGCCTGCCTGATGACACTCAGCTGGGGCGACTTCCTGAGCGATGCACAAGCTTCCCTGATGTTCCCTGCATGCGAGCCACGGTCAAAACTCCTATGCGGCAGTGGTTGCTAAGGATCCCTCCTGCCAGGACCATCCCTGACCTGATTTGCCAACCCGTTTGATTTCCTGTGACCTATGGGTCATGCTCTCCCCAAAATTGAAGTGGTCAGAATCCACGGGAACCTCAAGTGTACGAACCATTACGAACCGGTCTTTTGACTGCACATGTGGACCTGAACCATCTAATCTTCTGGGTATTTGGGAAAATGCTCAGGTTTTGGCACTGCCTCAGCACAATGCCGAATGCCAAGTGCAAGTTAAGCAGTGTAGTTTGAGAATCCATGGGGGATTGTTTAGGGCAAACTCACAAGTCAATTTACTCTGCCACAACATCTGACTGTTTCATACTGTTTCCAGGTCTTGCTGATTCAATCTGATGTCTCTCTTCCAAAAATAGTTATAAGGCGGACACAGAAACTCTTTTCTTCTCGCGAAACCCCGGAGCCGCCGGGCCAAGTACTCGGGTCAACGACTCGACCAGATCGTCTGATCGAGTGGCTGGCCTGCAGTGGCTCGTTCTGCGTGCTTCCGAGAGGAAGCCGCCAGGAGCCGTTGGATTTTGCCGCATTTCGATCTTGAGCTCTGGCTCAATTCTCCCGCCTGGCTGCTGCCTTGCTGGGCTTCTCCACAGTGCCAGCTGGCTTCTCAAGACCGTGCTGATACAACTGCGCCAGAGCATCCAAAACATTTCCCTTGTAGCCGTTGCGCGGGTACAGCCGGGAAAGCTTCATAGCTGAGGCCATCTCTGCAAACAGCAACCGCCAGCAGACAAATCGTTGGCCTGCACGCAGCCATCCAATCTGTTGCAGACCAGCTCGCATTGCATGCCACCCTTGATCGTAGCTGCGACCTGCAAGGCTTCGTCCAGGTCGCCAACCTGGCAGTAACCTTTGAGAGTGGAGTACGTGAGATCTGGCTGCACCGTGCCGTCAGACCTTGCTCTTGGAAGCACTCCTCGGCTTTTGCCACCTCAGAGCATTTGATGCACACATCAATGATGGAATTGTATGCTATGGTGTTGCAAAGGACACCTTCACCTTTCATCTCGCGAAAGAGCATGATTGCAGAGTTGAGGTCTTTCTCATGGCCACACCCCGAAATGTCAGCGTGGTGTAAAGGATAGTGTTGGATTGCTTCTGGCGCTGCATGTCACGAAAGATTTGCAGGGCCTTCTCTGTGTCGCTGCACTTCACGCAGGCGTTGAGCAGCCATCTGTCACCGCATTGGCGTGTTTCCGTTGTTCCTTCATCTCATGCCAAAGCTGCAGTACCTTCTTAGTGTCGCAAACCTGGCCATAAGACAAGGATTCCTAGGGTGACATGGGGTTCGACTCCAAGGTCCATGCGCTGGTGCAATGTCCTCTGTTCTTGAATGCGTAAGCGTTGAAGAGCACTTCATCTGCCTCTTGTGGCTGCTGGACAAATTGCTCAACCAGGGCTACACTGCGATTGATCTTCGCCGCGTCCCAGTTCTTCGAGACTGTGAAGCGATCAGATTGGCCAGCCCGCATCTCGTCCAGAGCATCCCAAGCTTGGTCGACACGCCACCGCAGGACCTCGAGCTGGGACACCTGCCCTTGCGCACTGGCGCCTGTCCAATGTGAAGTTCGTGTTGCTCCCAAATGCTTGCTGCAATTCACACATGCGAGTGTGCCTTTGATGACAGTTCAACGTCAAAAGGCAACTGTTGTTGTTATCTACTGTAGTTTGCGCACATGAGCCCTTCCTAGTCGCTTGAGGCAAGCAGCATTCGTTTTGGACGTGAAAAGGGGGTGCTGAAACCTGCTTTGGTGGAGTTTGAGGCATCCCAAACGTGAAAAGCAAGCCTCTGGGGCGCTGGCTGCGCCTTTTGATAAATTTCGGGCGGACCGAACAGGACGGCGTCGGCGAGCCCTCGCTTTTGGCATGTCATCAAAAGCTATCCCAGTGGATCCAATTAGCGGTTTAGCAGGTAGTCAAGGGAACCACCTTTTAAAACCAAAAGGAAATAGCCGGTTACCTACTATCGGCTATAATGGTAGCTGGGATCCACGGATGCACACGCAGTATGAACGCAGTGCAGAATTCGCTAAGTCTGCTGCCCGAATGTGCGGAGGTTTCACGTGGCTGGTGACATCCGTGGCAGGTAGCTAGATGGCAGGTGAGTTCCACAGGACACCTGCTGAAAGTACAATAGCTGACCTGGACCAAGTGAAAGGTGAAAGTTCTCACCAATGGTTCAGCATCCAGTCTTTGTTGGCCTCACATCATCTGCACTGGGCTGGCTTCCACCGAAAACAGACTCCCCATGCGTGAAGAACAAAACAACAAGAAGGTACGTCAGTTACGTATGAATCCCCGGTCTCCGGGCAACGTGATCCCATCATGTAGTGTTTCATTCAGGAACGGGAGTCATCAGCAATTTAATCATCACATTTTGTCTCAATCTAAGTTAGAGGGACTCCAATGCAAAAGCCACTCTAGCTAAGGTCATGCTTACCCTCCAAGTGAGCTGGACACACATCTGTGCTGCCAACTTGGAAGCTGCACGCGCAAGCGGACATCTGGAACATACCTGTGAACAGGGGGTCTGGACACTATGAAAATTTGGGTGTTTTTCAAAACAGGTAGTTGGTATCCTTTCTGCTTCCCGTTGGAACCATTTAGAAAAGGGCTCCATATTTAGAGAACCACCCAACAGAAGGGAAATCACAATCGGACATTGAGCGCGCCAACCTGCCATTTAGGATCTTTGGGCTCCCAGTGCAGCCTGAAGGATGGCCGTGTCAATCGATTCAAACACACGTCCCAGCCAAAATTGCAAGAGGAAAATGTTGACCATTGATTTTCTTTCTAACCCCTCCAGTTACTCATCAGGGGGGTTCCCCTGGAAGAAAGGAAAGGGACCCGCCCTAATAATAATTGGGGGGTGTGCAAATCAGGGGTCAGCGTTACACTTTGATCTGGTATTCTTTCGGGGGAAGGAGAACTCGTGACACACCTTTAGTGATTAAGGAGGGTTGCCCATCTGCCCTCTACAAGAACCAGGGTTCAAATCCCCAAACCATCAATTCAAACCACCGATTAGGGGTAACCTGACTAGGTCCTCCAGTAGAGAGGTTAGAATAAGGGTCCCAACTTGTTTCTGTAGTCTATTTCAAGGGCACCTAGCTGGGGGACCTAGCCGACAAAGCGGTCTGTGCTGTGCAGTCAGGAGGCCAGCACCGTGCCGAGATTCTTCACCAAACCACCTGGCAGAGCTGAATGAAGCAACCCAGCCAGACCAATCGTGTGAGTCATCGCAACTATTTATGGTTGGGATTCTCCCTTACTAACCTTCAGCTACCCGGATTTTGAGTGTGGCTCGTGTGTCCTTGTCTTGCTGGTGCGATAGGTGGGGAATGAGTTGGAATGAACCCAGGGATGGCCTTAAAGGAAACCACCAGTTGGATGGTCTATAGGGGTCGTTCCCTCATTCCCTCATTCCCTGCCAATCCCACCAGCAAGTTCCACATTTGGGGAGAAATCTCAACCAAACTTTCCTGGGGAATGTAACTGACTGGCTACGTTCGTTCTTGGCGTTTCAATGCTGCATGAGAAGCCTGCCCTGATCAACCCTAGCCAAAGCCAGGCTTAACTGAGCCGAACATGACAACAGAAGAGCGGTATGCAGAAAGTATCAAGCCACAGAAAGGAGAGACAACAATTGGCCCACAGGTGCCGGTGAAAGCATGACCCAAACGAGGACATGTGGGAACCATATCAATCGTGCAGTTCTCATTGCGCAGTCGAAAAGTCTCCTTGGGCAGCAACTGGGCAGCTACAGGGCAGCTGAAACTCAACGTGAACGACTCCGACTTCATCTCAACCTCCGAAAGCGCAATCAAGCGCCGGGAAATGGACGAAACTGACAAAGGGCGTTCTACGAAAAATGGATTGCCCAGCTCCAGCTCGATTGGTTTTGGGGGCTATCCCTTCTTAACCCCCCAGATAAGGCCTTATTAAGGGCTTATCCTTGGCTTATCATAGGAATTCCCCCTTCTCCTAGGGGTCCATGACAAGTGG